TATATATATATATATATATATATATAAATTTAAAATCATACATTAAAAAACAAACAATCGTAGTATGTGACTGAAAATGATATTTTTTCTAACTTGATCTTCTGACTACAAATTCGAGAATTATAGACAAATTAAGTGCCAAAAGCCAAATAGAGGACAAAAACTGATTGTTCACTTCGAAAAAGCTACCAGCAAAATAAATGTGTTTCAATTCTTTGTTTCTCTGTAGTTAAGTCAGTTCAAAGTAATAAAAAATTTGTCAATCAAATCTGTCTGGCACTTAAGTTATTTCAGTAAAACCGATTTGAGTTAGTCTTACAAATGATACTCCTGATGAGATCCCATATGGATGAAACGGTGGTTCATCATGAGAGAGAAGTGTGATCAACAAAGAATAATCAAAATGGTCCGCAACCAAGAATTGCCTGCAAGATTAGGTAAAATGGCATAAATTCAGATACTAAGCATGCATAAGTAGTTGAAAGATATTTAGAACACCAAAAATGCTTGAGTGAATAACATGAAGAGTATTTTACTCGACTAAACATAGCAACTATGGCTGCCACGATTATCACAGAAAGAATTCTTTAAAATCATGAATTCGGTTTTTACGAGATAGAATAAAGAGTAAAATTTTAAGGTTACAGCATAAAATAGCAGTTTGGTCAAACAATGTAAAATATCTAATTGGAATGAATCTGCGTTAATTAATGGTGATTAAGGAGTTGGGAATGAAGTCAAGCAAACGCAAAACTCAGCGGTCTCTTTTCGTTGTTTAAGACATCCATTTCCGCTTCATTTGTACCAGGCGATTTAAAATTAGCGCCACTAACTACCAGTAGGATGCTACTGACTGGCTTGACATATTTACAAGTGTGTTACATTATATTTTAAACTTCAAGTAAACACAGGGAAAGATGATGGAGAGAGCAGAGAACGAGTAAATGAAAAAGTTAATCAAAAATGAGTATTTTAAATAAAATGTTTTTCATTATACGTTCTTTTAAATAATTAGGAAATGTTCCACAATTTGAAGTCACAGTTTGTTTTCTGCTAATCTGAAAAAGATGGCAGCGAAATACTGAGGCAAAAGGAAAAGTTGGTAATGATCAAATTTGAAATAGAGATAAGAGTACTGTGAAAAAAAATTTGATGAAAATTGAAAGCTTTACGTGGAAGGCAGACACAGGAAGCGGCAATTAACAGGCTAGAAAAATAGAAACCGTCAGCTGAAAAGATAAATTTCAATGTAGATGAATGTACTTCAGAATTGTACTTATTACAGAAAGAAAGGCAAATATGGCTGCGCGAAAGAAAAAAAGTTATATATACTTGAGCCACAAAAACTATGTGCAAGGAAAGTAGGTATGGTGTCAGTGATCTGAGACGATAAACGATGGCTATGTTGATGAAAGATGGACCTGAGATGGATTTGGGAAAGGGTTGGGCGTTACAAAGTATGGACAGCAAGGGGAGCAAGAGGGAGCAGGTAGAAGGGGTGGTTAAGGATCGCTTCTTTCTCCTCAACCCTACCTTCCTTCTTTCGAGGACAAGTGTCGTTCATCTGAGGCAGCTGTTGTTGCGCTCAGACCTCGGTTTACAACACTGCTCACTCTTCGTCAAGCTTAGACTAAAAATCGTAGCCTAGAAGCTGCGCAGTACTATTCCGTACTGATTAGATGTGTTTTTAAACTAAACAATTGGTAATCTTGGAAGATTCCTTAAATTAGCTGCATCTTCGAATTCCTCCTTAAAAATCTATCTCTCTGATGCACGTTACTAATCAATATCAATTCTTAGCATATGTGCAAATTAATGTTCTTAGCTATGTAGATATAGCCAGGTGTAAACAAGAGAAATTCGAATTATTTCATTTCTTACTTTGTTGAATGGATGGATATGTTTGGAGTAGTGCCACAGAAATTAATATCACTATAATTAGCGGATGATTTATGATTATTGCAATGAAAATTTTGTACTTGTTCTCATTAAATTTTCTCCATTAAAGAAAACTGATTCTGAAGTATTATATCTTGCAATCTGCACTCACCAAACTGCCTAATTAAGCTCCGTTGCAAATTATTGTACTCAAATTCATATTTCGGTTACGTCATGAGATGCCAGTGATTTCGATTCTTGTGCACAGCAATGATTTCGATTCTTGTGCACAGCAATTAGATGAGCGCCTGTGCATATCTTGTGTTCGTAACTGTTATAATTGCCATCAAATTATTATAATACCAGTATTAGTGACAATGAATGTCTTTTTTGATTGCTATGTTTACTACAGGAATTGTTTTCCGTGTTACTGATACCACTGTATGCAAAATTTCCGGTCTTCACAGCTGGTAAAGTGTATTGTTGTGATCATTGGATTGAATATTTTGACGTCAAATCCTCTTTAAATGAAATATAGAATTTGCTCGAATTGTCTGTTCAACAGATAGTGATATATTATTAATCCTTTTTTTAAAGTCATTTACAAGCAGAAACCTCGATTTATTCAAATGAAAACTGAAAAGTTAAACATTTCATTATGTCCAGAAACTGAATCTTTTGATAACCGGAAGATTAAAAATGCCCTTTAAGACAAAATTTAACGAAAAATTCAAAAGTCACAAATTTCAACCTCAATTTCCTCTAATTCTAAATCTGCTAACCATAGAAATAATACACAAGAAAAACCGTCTGTTTTATGACAGACTAAACTTATATTAAGTTCTCTTTCTCTATAACAGTCTCACAAAAAAAGTTCTCTCCTTTTTCTCAATGAAATATACAATATACGATGTGACTCAGTATAATATCAGACCACCTAGTCATACATTTGGAACCCTGTTAACTCTAGAGTATCTGTATCTTTAAAGTTTAAAAATGGTTTAAAAATTTTTCAAACACCAGCTTTCAGAAAATACTCTGTCAAAAAAGGAGAGCGGAAAATCAAGAAAATTTAAAGAAATTGTAGAACTTCCCTCTTGTCTCGTATATTATGACAAAGTACAGCTCTTAATGTACAACTTTTAAGAAATGTGGAGCAGCTAATGCTGAAGGCTGATCATTGATGTTGAATATTTTTTTGAACATCAGATCTTCCTTATATTCTTTTTATCTGCACTTGAAGCTTAATATACCTTTATTGCCTATGATGAAATATTTTCATTGTTGAAGCAAAACTTTAAGCTTTAACTGCCAACACAAAACCAAATCATATATCATTGTTTTCATAACTGAGGAACATTTTAAACTTCATAGCATATCCTGGTGTTGATTTCATATTGTTCACTGACACAAATTTCTACTTCTCCAATTGCAAACATTTTATTTCAATTCAGAACACGATTTGCCGTTAAATGTAACTCAGTTTTAAGCACGAAAGTATTACTCTAATTGCCAGAACAAGTTCCTGTTTCAGGTACGGTATTTTTTAGCATTTACTTAATTGGAGAAGTAGTCGTTAACTTCTGCATTGTTTTTTGTGCAAGAATCAGTTGTATTAAAGGCTAGATAAACAGTGAAAAAAACAAAACCTCTTTGATAATTTATTCAAAGATAAAATAAAATTTGTATTTTTCTGAACTACATTTTTGATGGGCCTGTCTCAGTTCCTAGAGAACAACAGTAGAATAAAACCAGTCAAGTGTTTCTGATCTATATTTCTTTTAATTTTCACCAACAAATCATGCTTTGAATTCTATTCAACACTGTTGTGAATGAATAATTATGAGACAAAAACTATACGCCCATTTAAACATGTATACTGTCTAGAACAAATTACCCTTGCTGTTATTTACGTAATTAATTCATGGAATTTTCTATTAATGAAGTTTGATTTGCAGATATATGGCATAATAATTTTCTAAGGAGCTGTTTCAGTATTATACGCTACATATCGCCTGCAATTAGAATCTGTGAATTTAATTTTCTAGAAAGCGTAGAAATGCAATAAAATAGTTGAATGCAGTTAAACTTCCGTAGTGCCTTGGTTTATTTTACTAAATATGATCCAACAAAGCAATGATTTGGTGATCACCGTTTAAGATTTACATTAATTAGAATCTTCCAAATTTTGTGATCCTTTAAAACGTTTATTTATAAAATCTACCACCGATGTTCACTGAAATGCTAATGACATAGTTGACTTTTGAATAAATGATCTATTTTACATTTTATTCTATATTTTTATTCACTACTTCACTAGTAAATAGATTCTGACATAAAATGATTTGCACACTGTAGGGGATGAGTATGGCAAGATAAATTAAGTTTAGTTCTTGATCTTCAATCTCTTAATTTTTGAATAAGTCATCAACTCTGTGGACAGTATACAAGGCAGCTCGAAATGTTCATTCTTTTTTTTGGAGTTAGAGAAAAGAAAACAGGTCACGACGTTAACGCAGTATTAAATTAAATTATTACCAACATTTTTCAAAACTTCATTGGGAACACTGAATGAGTGCAGATTTGTAGAGATTGATAATAATTGTTGAGTAAATGAGTACTTTCAATTCAACTGTTTTTGATGGTTCTTGACATACTGAGGTGTCTTGCATTGTGCCTTATATAAAAAAATTTCATCAACTACATTTTCCTTAATCCTCCGTTTCAGCGAATATTTTCCCAAACCTTACTTGCAAAGGTATTTTAGTTTGCTTTTCTTTTCATTTTCTGTTTTTGTAACCTTTTCACTCATAAGATTTTATTTTTATGAGCTTCCACCTTTTTTAGAAACGCTTAACTGATACTGATCACAATTACGAATTATCACTCAATTTTTTCAGCTCATATTTCATCAGTTATCCATGATCTGGCATTACAAATATTAGTTTGGAACTTTCATAGTTATAGTTATAGTGTTCACAGGTAACAGGGATTTGTAAAATGAAATCAGCATGGTGAAATTAATTCCTTCATTTACAAATATTGGTATTTTCAGTCACTGTAGAACGTTTTGTCTCTATTAGATTTCGGCAATTCATCACTGTTATTTTTTTGAGCTCAAAACTAAAGTGATTTTGAAAGGTGATCCGGAATTCATTTCTCTTATTTTTTATAAAATTCATAGGGGGAAGTAAAGACTATCCATAACGGTAGCATATCGTTACTTTAAAGAAAAAGCTTAATTTACCTGAATGGACTTAGTCAGAATGATAAGTTAAGTGCTCAGAGCAATCACCAATACGTACTAAAATATAAGCAAATCTATATATCTATTCACTCAAAAAGAGTTAATATTGAATATAGCAAATGCATTCTAAAGTAGCTCTTTTGTTTAGAAGCACAAACTAATGTCCAGTTTTTCTTCTTCATGATGAATCATTATTAAAAATTTTCCATAGTGGTCTAAAAATTTTAGCGGCTAAGTAGCTTTTTTCGCAATTTTTGTATCGTAAATTATGTCTAGGTGAAAATTTAACTTATTTAAAGACTTTCAAGAAACTTGAAATTGTTTAACTGACTTGAATAACTCATAAAAAACAAAATCCATCAGGTAGACGATAAGTTAAATTAAGAAACAAAGATTTACCTTTGAACAAAACTGCTCAAGTAAGCAGCCGATCCTGCGAGCAGAACATACCTAAGAAAGTGCTTATTTCATAAAATGTCATCAAAACTAAATGTATATATTTTGAACATTCATAACATTCCCAACTGATATCTGAAACGTTTGCTACATTTTTTAAATTCCTGTTTGTGATTAGCTATTTTAAATGTACAACTTTAGATTTGATACGACGCTAAATTTACCATACTGATGGGCTCAATAATTTGGTTATTCGTATTTGAATAACGTCTTTTTCCTTTTTCCGTTGTCTGGGTTGTAAGAGATGTAATTTTTGCAAAAACTGCATTACAGAATAGTATGATATTATTTTCATGATATGACAAGTGTAATCAAGACTAGTCGTTATCTAGCTAACTATAAATTCTAAAGAATGTGGTGGTGTGATTCATGATGCTTTGCATCTTTGGATTTTCACTGTAATCAAAAAGAGGAAATATAGGGCTTAATTTCGTTCACAAATAGAAGTTTATGCATGATTTGAGCTGGCTTGAAAGTCTTCCTCATGATTTTCTTCACGTCACTGGGAATGAAGACAATAGGTAGAAGATGCAGCAAATCACAACACTGCATTCCAAAACCTGATTACTTGATTCTCATTTACGACGTAAACATAATGTCTCACTAACATACTCTAACATAATAACGTAAGACTTCTTTATTGCTATATGATTCCTTAGTTGCATTTTGTATGAGAATCTTAAAGCAAAGTCATTATTATTGTTGCTGCCTGTGCGTAAATATTTGCTATATAGCAATAAAAAATTTTTCAAATCCAAAGGACTGAATTACAACTTAAATAAAATAAAGTTTACTGTACACACTACATCGTACTGTTAAAGTGCTTCAGATAGAAATAAAGTTGACGGCGACAAATGATTCTCTTTGGATCAATCTTATTCGTGATATCAGCAGAACTTACGGAGAAGCGAGGTATTCCAAATATCTATCGATGGATAGCTGAAAATAGTCATATTTGTAAGTTTTGCATTGCCTCACTCTACATCTTCATTCTGAGGAATTCTAGTTTTTTCTCTTTTTCCTAACCATTTTTGATTGCAGTTAAAATTGTTATCATTTCCTACAAAATTATCATTGACTAATTGTTATCATTTCCCACACAGTTATCATTTGGTCAAGAACTTTCTTCTCATCATTTTATTTGTGTTAATGAATCTACAAATTTCTTATCTGTAGCTTTAGTCTACTTCGTTTGAAGTATCAGAATTTATTTACTCATCTGCAATCAATATGATCATTGCATCGCATTAAATGTTTGCTGAGTTTTATACACAGTTTTTCTTCCAGAAAATTCAGTTTAATCTTGCTATGCGATTCATGAAAGGAAGTAGTAAAAATTAATAACCTTGAAGTCTTTTCTTCAAGATTTCAATAAATGTATAACTGACGATACTGCAAATAATCTAAAAATATTAAAAATCGATTATAAAACCATTTTACCTATCTTTTTAAATGTCAACTATTTGAAATTAAGTAATGTTAAACTAATGCTGTAGAAATGTAAATGTTGTGGGAATCACTAAATTTGAAGGCTGTATGTATTATTAATGAATCGAAGTAGATATGAAGCGTGATAAATGACTTGCCCCATTAATATGTATATTTTAAAAAGGATCGTTCTCTGATTACTTGAAGTTTTGTGCATTTTCGTGGAAGTTGTGTGTTAAACAAGGAGCATTATCGAAGATTAATGCAATTTAAAAAGTAGAAAATGATTACTCTCTTATCACGAAGAAGTAATTGATTCTTCATTCTATATTTGTTCCAATGTTAATAACCTCATTTATTCCCACAGCGGTATAACATCGTTTTTTGAAAACAGTCTCACTGAGTTCTGTCACAAATGCTGTAATGAGTTCCAATTTCTTAAAGTATTTATTTTGCATGACATTCATTTTTCTTTCGACAACCTTTTGTAAAAAGACTCTAAATGCCACGCGCATTCAGTCAAGTTAGCTTTGAGAATTGTAAAAAGATAAAATTAAAGCAAAACAGAATTCGATGATATTGTATGAATCTTTCATGAAATAATCCGTGTTACAAGTTCTAGCGTGTGAATTTTTGAATTAATTCAATGCTTCACCGCTGAGCAATACTTACCAGCACTGGAAGTGTGAAAATTTTCGCCTTACTAATAGTGGTCACTCGTGCTCATGACGAGAACTGTTCTTAACTACTGCAAAAATTTAAACATGCAGAACAGAAAGTGCTCAAGTTACTGTACTTTCTTGATGTTGATAAACGCAAAGAACTATCAGTGGACGGCTATGTAAGTGAAATAACTACATAACACAGGACATGGGCACATTTTGCAGTTTTTCCATCAACAAGTAAATTCTCAAAGATTGAGATCTATGAGTACGCTATTTAAAAACAACTTTTCCGGTATGCTTTCACAAACTGGAACCACTCGGCTAAAGTTCCTGCCAGAGATAGAAGGTGCAACTTGTGACATGTGTCCAGAAGTGTCACATCGCGAATTACCTGAAGCTGCGTGCGCTAAAGAAGTCGATGCACACGATAACAGTATTAGGATCAGTTGCCAACCATGTTAGTTGATTTATCTGTAAAAATTTGAGATGAAAGCAATGAATTAGTAGGCAGGAACATGTTCCAAAACTTTTAATAGCATGAAAGTTTTTCTATTAATCTTTGTAAAAAGTCTCTACAAATTTCCAGAAATTTATAAAGACTTTGAAATTAACGATTATAGCGAGATTTACTTTTTCCAAAATGTGGAAGAATTGATAACAAAAAGAATCTTAAAAATTGCACAGATATCCTGCAAGTTGTTTTTCAGTACCAGAGTTATGTGCTGAAGAATTAAGGCAAAGATATGGCGCGAATGATGTTACAGCAAAGACAAATTCGAAAAAAGCTGAAAATTTGAGGTTGCCATCTTTGCTAGCAGTGACTGCTACTGATCAATCAGATACACTGCCAATATCAGAATCTTTTCAGTCTACTAGTCCACCTACTACCTCTTTGGAATGGAGCAGATCAATCAAAGTACCACTAAGGACTTCTGGTGCCTCCCCATCTACTGGATTATTCACTGTTTCTGGGCAAAATGTAACTGCTTCATTACAATCCCTGACTACTGCGGAATTTAACTTCGCTTTCAAAGCTGTTGATAACAGTCATACGACCACCTTTCATGATCTGTCTACATCACCTTCCATTACTGATCAAAAGCAATTAGCTGGAAATATTTTATCTACCAAAACAACTCATGCTCTACCCATAGTCTCATTCATAACGAAAAGTTGGGCAAAAACTGAAAATGTTGCAAATACTATTGAATTTTCAAAAAAGACAGAGCCGAAAAAAAAAAAAGGGAACACAAAACAATTTCCTGAACTGGAGACCACAACTTTGGTTTTCGATTATTCAGAAGACAAATCATACTCAAATCAGAGTTATTTTAACTCTTCAATAGATTACAGCAGTACGACTCGAAGTATTGGTAATATTAGTATTAATATTTTTGGTAATATCACTTTAATTCCATTTTGGACTGAACAAATGTTTTTCAATAACTTCATACCGACAACTCTTTCAACAGCTGTAGCTAATACAACCTTTACTTCTCAAGTCACAAACATAGTTAAAGCCACTGTTGATTCAGAATATCACAATATCACAAAATTGACGTCAAAATCTGCAACTTCTTTACTACCACTGGTGAATTATCCTATAAAAGTAAGAAAAACATCACTTTTCGCTTCTACTACCGATGTAGTAAAAAGTTCAGCAAAAATGGTGTCATCACAGATAACACCGAAAAACTCTTTTGTATCCACCACAAGATTCTTACAACCAACAGCCATTACAACTGAAATTAAACCAAAACTCTTCTCTTCTATAGAATCATCAACAATCGAAGTGATAACAGCAAAACAAAGATCTATATCTGCAAACCCCATTACTAGCACCATGATTTCGAGTACACTAGTCAAAAAAGATTTGAATCATATGGCAAAACCAATAGGAGGTGCAGAGTCCCATAATTCGAACCATTTACCAGGTGAGGTAACTTACAAATTAAGATTATATAACGGGATTAAAAAAGATGAAACATTATTGTACCAAAAACAAATAATTAATCATATGAATGATGGACAGGGACAATTAAAACCTCTTAAAGAGGAAACTTTTCAGTCAAGTGCACTTACAAGTTCCTCTCCGACTGCAATAGCATCTTCAACAACAGCTAATAAATTACAAGCTACAGTTGCAAGTACTCCACAGAAACACAATCTTAAAATTATTACTGGATTGCCTTTCATTCCTAATCAATACTTTTACGAGGCACTAACCACAAATTATAATTTACACCAAGATATCTCCACACGAGAAAGTGAACTAAATAAAAAGTCGATTGGAGTGTCGACTCACAATTATTCGAGAATCAAATTTTCCGACAGTAACCAAAAAATAAATAAAGAAGTGGTTTATTCTGGAACTACTGATGGTAGGATTTATGTGAAGCACAAAAATTCTGAAGCTTTCAACCATTCTATTGTATCTAAAGATTCATTACAACAGAGCAAACGTACTCATCCAGCATCAAAGTCGAAAAAAGATGAATGGAGCGGCAAAAATAAAAGTATTCTAGTTTCGCTCTTAACACTTCCAACGTCGCATACGACTGCAACACACTTACCGCAATATTATGTTTCGATACCAACAAAATCATATCAAGTTGCAAGCAACAAGAAATATACTAATGATCATATTAAATCTTTGACACAAAAACCATATCTGAGAGCCAAAGTGCGAAATTTCGGTAAGAAACAGCTGCATGATGTTTACAATATTACGAAACCAAATTACGAGGTTCAAACGGACAGCAGAAATGTATTTTTCATAAACGACCAATTTGGAAACATCAACCACATCCTACCTCTTATTTTGAGACCGCCAAAATCACGGCGATTATCAACAACACGAATGAATGAACCGGGAAGATCTGCATTTACTACATCGATTGAAACAGTTCAGGATAGTAGTATGAAAACAGGGCTTGCGCGAAATGGCCTCAACTTGCATTCTGACTCTCGAAATATGTATAAAAGAAAAAATAGTGGTGAAAACTTGACCATGGAAACCATCAAATGTGAACGATGTTTGGACAAACACAAGGTAACGTGATTTCTTGAAAGAAGAACAATTTTCTGAAATCCATAACAAAATCATTTTCTCTAAAAAGATTAAAAAGTTGAATCATTTGCAGAAGAATTTTGCAGTTATTTTCTGTTTGATTTTATATTTTACTTCTTTAGCTTTGTTGCTTTTGGGCATTATTGGGTGAATGTGACAAAAATCCATACTGGATGCAAATCCACTGTGCACAGAGTTGTGGTACTTGTACACGTTAGTTTTTAATTACTATTTAGTAATTACAAATCTCTTTTTGACCACGAATACAAATAACGCTCTGGAAAATCATTTAATGTTTCATGTAAATTCTAAAAAATTCATAGTATTATTTATGGTAAATCCTTGACTGATTTAAGCCTTAATAATCAGTAAGTCACGCTCGCCACAAAGTGCTCTTAGATATTTAAGCCAACAGTTACTGGCATGAAATCCTTAAAGTAAAACAGATCTTTACCTCACCAGCTGGAACGGGATTTTCTCCAGTGGTTATGTTTAACGTTTGGCATCATTTCACTGGAAATTTGTAATTATTTTTTAAATTTGCATTACAGTCAAGTTAAAGAAATGTGTATCAACGGATGTGCGTTGCTTGCTTTCTACTGCTCAAGTAGCAAGTGAACCAACTTCCAGTTCAGCAACAGTCTTGAACTTTGCCAACATTTTGAACTTACCAAATCGTTCGACAATAGAATTTTCCAAAGAAAAAAAATCGAACTTTATCTCTTCACAGGTATTCATCAGACTTGAAACTATGTGATTAATGTGCGGAAAAATTATGTTCTAGCGTCCGGAAGGTTACTAATTTATGCATGTTTTCTTTACATTTACTTTCATGTCTCTACAATTCAATATTTTTTTAAATGTTAATTAATTCCAAATGAGAAGTTATAACTATGTACAGAAGTCAAAAATTCTTAGTTCCAATTCCAGTTACATATGTAAATTTTTTTTGTTTCATTTTGGTAAAAAAAAAGTAAAAAACTTCTTAGTTTGCTTCAAAGTTTCAAGTTATTCCTTGTGCACTTTTGTATAGTTTTTTCAGTTTCATTAAATAAATAATATCATAAGATGATAGCTTCTTTAAAAACATGTATTCAAAATTGGTCACAAAAATTTCTGATGGCAAATCCAACTTCTCCCGCACAAAATTTCTTTATCTGAACAAAATTTTTAAAATAAAGGAGGTAGAGCTGCTTCAAATATCAAGATATAGTTTTATTCAAGAATACATGTGTGTTTATTGTATAATTTTCAAGATTACATATCAGGATTCCGCATCATTACGTGCTACTACTACGTTACCTCCAATGGTAAAAATTATCGACGAGATCACGCCTACAAAGGCAAAAATGAAGCTTTGTTTGGATTATAGCATACACTGCAAATTTTGGGCTGATTTGGGAGAGTGCATTCGAAATCCTTTTTGGATGATGCCAAACTGTCAAAAATCGTGCTTTACATGCGGTAAAGTGTTTAGTAAGGTATATGAACCTACTCTACGCAAAGGTATACATTACTGACATTTCTGTCTTATTTTTTCAACAAAAACAAATGACTGAGATCTCAAAAAATTAAGAAAAACACGACTTACTTTCATTTATGATGATTAAAGGTTTGTTGCAAAAATTAATGTTTTTTTTCTCATATATTTCGGCTTCAACATATACTGATTTTGACATGTTAATAATATTTGATGAATGACAAATTGTTTCTTGTGAATTTTCGCAATCCATAACGTTAGCGTCTGTCAAGCCAAGAAATGTTGTATGGAGCATACACGAACTAAATCTACATAAAGGCACAAGAAAAAAATGCTTTTTCTAATGTATTTAAATATGTTCAATTGTGCTCTACTTTCATTGCAGGATGCACTAATCATAATAAGTATTGTCAATTTTGGGCATTTAGTGGACAATGTGACATGAATCCGAACTGGATGAAACGCTATTGCCCTCTCAGTTGTCAGCTGTGCTAAATCTAAGTTTAAAAAATGTAAGATATTTCACAGAGATAACCAATGATACTCATTTTTTCAATCGTCACAACAAATCTCAAACTGACAGATTATGAATGCAAGCGAAACATAAGCAGCCCATATTGATGAAATATGCAACATCTACTGCTGTGCATACATCTCAGAGTAAACAAATCAATAAATAATAGAAGTAATTGACAATTTCCAAAGTATGGGCTTATATTCAGTTGTGCAAAAAAAAAAACAAGGTAATTCGAGAATGGAGGAAATCGTTTTGATAATGACAGCCAGCGTCGATGGATTCTTAGAGCTAAGAGGACGTGGTCATTTCTTCCTCTGTTCTGCTCCTTTCACCTTCTAAAACTTTGCCTTCATTTCAATGCAGAAGTCAGTTCTTATAAATCTTCATCAAACCTTCACACATACATTTATATGTACGCATGTACACCTTCCAGTTTTATAATCAATCTAGTCATTACGTTTATCTTCAAGGCCGAACCAAATTATTCCTCTCCATTTCCTCGAAAGAAAAATGTTAGAATTAGTCAGGAAGGACATTTATAACTACTTTCCAGAGAAGGTACACACGAGTACAATCCACTAAATTTTCACCCCTTTTGCTCCAATTTTTGTGATATTATCCTTCTGCCCTTACGCAACCTTCATCCGAATGTCACACAATGGTGTTTAGTTTTCATATGCTATTGAAAGCCATTTTTTATTATTATGAAATGGTGTAGATGTGTGCATCCCTTCATGCTCAAATTTCTATCGAAAACAAAGATCTAAAATAACAATTCACTTACATTGTTTCTGGAATACTAGTTCATTGTACGGATACTGCCCATATCTAAATATTGATATTTTTGAAGCATGTCTACTAAAATAGTGTGAATCCTAATGTTTCTCTCATACTTCATATTATCTAATACTTTTCTCCCCTGTTTGCAATTGTGACGTCTTGTATCTCAGTCCTTTTTATTCATTTTAATAAAAATTGCTTGCATGTCTTAACATAGCAAACTTCAAGTAAATTCTGGATATAGGCAAATTTTGGATTATAAATTACGTGCATATCTGCTGAACGTTGCCTATATTTTAAACAATTCAAAGACACTAAATCATTCCAGAAAAAGGGCATTCCTGTGATGCATGAAACTGCGAGAAACAATTGGAAACAAATTGCATCATCAGAATGAAAGAATATCATTCAATTGATACAGTCCAAGTACAGAAGAGAAAAATAGTAGAGTGAAATGATAAGCTAGATGTGGTTGAGTTTAGAAAAATAAGTCTTGGGTACTAAAATGGTATTGAAACAATATGCAAATAGGAGAGGAGGAGCTCGCACAATGACAAGATTATAACATCACAGTAATTTGACACCGTCAATCACTAGTTGTCTGAAGAGGAATCTCTTTGTTCAGGGAAGTGAGAAAGCACGTTGAGCACTCAAAATAAATGCCATCTGTGCAAGCAATAAATGGTAGTAAGATCAAGAATTTCTGGAAACTGGACATATATCAATTAGCGCGAAGTAAATACTGTAGTAAGATATCTCACAGATTTTATATATAATTTTGACAGTATGAGGAAGATTTGAGAAGCCAAACTAGTTAAATGGAAAGAATAAATCATACTACATCTACGAATAGAATCTGTAAAGATGTGTTCATGTCTATACTGATATCGTTACTTTATGGAAAATTGCTGGTGTAGATAGAAGGATTACATATCACGATGGTTTAAAAAATTATACAGACAAATTGTAAATGTCTCTCTTTTAATTTTCCCAGATGCAGTTCGTCAAATGCGAGAAAAGCTCATGTATTAATAAAAAGGATAACAGAAACGCCTCTTGTCAGGAAGAAAGAGACATCAGCTGAAAACCAAAACATTATGCTACCCTTCTCTCACTCTTATCAATCAACAAAAGCTGGAAGCTATATAATAGAATGCAGCAGATGAAAGCTTGTAATGTAGAAGAATAGGGAATAAAAGAAATTTAAAAGCATACATCTAATTTGCATACTTTTCTTTGAAATGAATTTTCGCTCATAGACAAAGTGTTGTAAAAAGAAGTGAAAAAGGCCGTATATTGTGCTACTGAAGCCATTCCGACATCAGTTTTCTCGTTTGCTTCTTTTTTCTTTCCCATTACTCATGTGTGAAAGCAAGAATGGAGAATGGAGCAGAACGACTTACGGTAAGCGGACAACAAGCATTTTTTCTCTCAAAATTATGATAATGGCTAGTTGAGAGCGAAGCTTAAGTTCAAGCATTTAACTGTGAACAAAAAGGATTTTAATAAGAGCAAATTACTTCTTTCTTAACAGTATATGATGTATGAAGCAATCAACAGTAATTTTGCATCAAAAACGGACAGGAAGATGGGAAAAACGGTGAGAAGGAAAGAAACAATAATTTTTGGTTTATTAAGTTTGTGACACATATAGTTAGAAAATAATATTGTTTCACCAAGATAACAAAAATCTGCTTAATAAAAAGCTCTAAAAATTTTTTCCGGTCAAATTATTTCCGTACCAACAATTTCAAACATACTGGTATTTTTAAAGAACCAATCGCCGTTGTACGAACTAGATCAGTGTTCATTGCTATTGTTTTTGAACGAAAAGAATGTTGGAAGCTTGAAACTAAATTTAAAAAGCATAAAAACAATCAAGTATTTTCACTAGAATTTAATAATTTAACAAATGGATTGGCTGCAACGCAGAATGTTGTTTTACAGTTCCCATTATTTGGTAAAATTCCAGAAATTAATAGCAGTCTTAGAAGCAACACGCAAAGAAAGCAAAGTCGTACAAAAACCTTACTTTTCTAGATTTATTCTATTTTTGATCCCAGCGATGACTCATGAATGAAAAGAAATTTTCATCACCAAATAAATATTGACGTTTAAAAGAATGCGAAAAACATGATCAATCTAAATTTACTTTAAAATACATGATTATACCAAGCATTATTCGGATTTACTTTGACATTATGTAACAGTTTTTCTGATATTTTTGAAGGAAGCCAAAAGATAATGGGAAACTGTTGCTGAAGCACGAAAAAGGAAGTAGTCATCTCAATTTCGAAGTGGACTAAAGACAAATATTAAGATGAGAATTATTTACATTTTTAGTGAAACACAGCATCTTTATTTGGTACGCAATCGCATTAGTTGGTACTCAGCAACTGATGAAACCAATCAAAGTTCCATTTCACATGAAATGCGTAGTGTCGGTCTCTAATCATGTTTGGTGAGGTACCATTTTCTATCACTGTCAAAATAATTTGAGGTTTAAGAAGAGCTCCTGTTAAATATACTGCTAATGAAACAAGGTCACTGTTGTTTGGAATAAAACATACAAAAAAGTGTGGCTTGATATGATCTTTTCAAGCTTCCAATTCGATATTTCTTTGATCTTGCTGTTTCTCTGTTTTCTCTTTAACTCTATTGTATTTTATACAATTTACTTTGAAAAACCAGACATTCTTCATGTCTTTGACTGCCTTTCACCCTCTTTTGTAATATTGTTGGATGCACAAATATGTGGTATCATATTCACTCACTAAGTTATCGGTACACTTCAAAATATAGCTGACTTCTAAGAATTGTCTAATTCAACAAGGAAAAAAAGCGTTTACATCATATTGGGATTTGGAATTCGGAAATTAAAACGACAGAGAAATTATTCTGAGAGTATTTACTAGAATCGGAAGTTTAAAATGTCGGTGTCAATGTCGTCATCCATTCATCTATCGTTCTTATGATTTACTACCCTCTGGTTCACCCATAAGAATCTACGTCATGGACGCCCGTGACCTTCATCAAAATGAGAAGTTCCGAAGACGAGACAAAAAAGTAGTTAGACGAGGAGGACAGTAAGGACGGATGCGAATTACTAAATCGAACAGAATGAGAAAATGGGAATGGTTTTGCTACGGAGAAGTTTGGCAAAAGTAGTTCTTGCTACTATCGTTGCTATTTATCAGTGACTACCACTATTTATCAGTGACTACCATTAACTACAATTCAAAATAATGAAATATATTTACTGTCGATGGAAGCAACAAAAAACTGAATGATGGCTTAGCTTATACTAAAATAACTAATTTACTTTTCTGTTCAGTCACGTCTTTCATCTACGATACCCTTCTTTTCTCATAGCCTAGATTCTGTAACGGACAACTTATTCTGAATCTGTATATGTCGATATTCTCATTGGTAACATTTTTAATGTATAGATAAACTAAAGATTTGTGAAGAATTCCAAAAAAAATCAGCATAATTTATTTTTGTTCTCAATGAATTTGACTTGATAAAGTTTCGTCTCACAGCACAGCATATCCGCCGACGTTTATAAATGTATTTGCGTATCGGTTACATTAGCATGATAATATTACTGAGATCTTACGATATTATTCTTTATTATTTATGGTAAATGTAATGAATAAGTTTATAACTTTCATCATTATTTGCCCTGAATTTTCCTCATTATATGATCACCAAAGTAGTTGAACCACAAATTAAAATTACTTTGCCTGCTTAATCCACTATTATCTTCAATTATCTGAAGAACTTATTCATACAAGTATGTAACAGTAGCTTTTTTACTCCATCACCAACAAGACGCTGAGGTACTCATTCTGTAATTTTAACAGGAAAGGAAAATCTGAAGTACAAGCTTAATCCAATGTTCTACTACAGTTAGTGATAGCTACAAATGTAAACAGTGATGAGAATAAAATGGAAAAGTTGAAATACAAGTTCAAATTATTTCACTTCTCTCTATTCTATTCTCTTTTAATGACCTTTAATGACTTCCCTTGTAATAAAACGAAGGTATATATGCCCATACATCCATTCGACTGGCATCTTGCATCGAAAACCACTCACTCTTTTACCCAACCAGCAAGAAGAGTATATTGACCTTAATTGAGCTGAAATATGAACAAGAAAAAAGGGAAATTTTACTGGAAAGAAAAGCAAAGATGACTAACTTGCAATCCAAAGCTGGCAATAATCATGCTGAGCAAAAGAATAACCTCAAATAATGTTCCAACTCAAATCCTTTTTACTCTTAGCAAATTTATGTGTCAACTGTCGCTTCAATGGAAAAGAATACAAGGGGAAAGTAGTAGTAAATAAATGGTCAGAACAGAAAGTTTGATGATAAGGAAAATTAGGTCGTCGGCTCGAGAAGATTCCTTTCGCCCCTTTTGGAAATGTATCGTGAAGTTCACCTTGTCTCATTTTCCTGGTACAAAACAATCATCCGACCTTCACTATAACGCCACCACTTAACCATCTTTTCACCTCCTTCCATCCATGTATTTGATGATCCCTTGGAAATA